GAGGACGCTGACGCGAACCGCGACCACTAGCGCGAGCAGCACGAACCGGCGACGCGGGACGAGACGCAGGCTCACGACGCTCAGCAAGACCTCCAGTAGGACCAGTGTAAGGAGAGGGAGCAGGCAGAGGAGAGGAAGGCTCCAACAGTGACTGCGACTGGACAGGCTGTGGACACTCTACCGAAGGAGAAAGACCAAGAACCTGCTGTAGGAGCGGAACGAAGTACGGCCGAGGCCGCGCGGCAGCTCCAGACTCAGCAGGGACAGCACCCGCACCCTCAGCGACAGCACCAGTGCCACCAACACCTCCAGCGGCAGGACCTCCAGCAGCACCAGCAGCAGAACCACCGCCAGGACAGACAGCAGTAGTCTCAGCACCAACACCCTCAGCAGTAGTCTCAGCACCAACACCCTCAGCAGCTCCAGCTCCAGTAGGACCCGCAGGCCCAGCAGCTCCGGGACCGGCAGCACCAGCACCCTCGACGGTCGACGAAGCTCCAGCTCCAGCAGCACTCCTCCAACGGCGAGCAAACCACTCGCGCAGCTCTTGCGGAGAGAGGGGCTCCCGGCGAGACGCAGCAGCAGGAGAAACCCCAGGCTCAGCAGCTCCAGACTCAGCACCCCCAGGCACAGCAGCTCCAGACGTAGCACCCCCAGGCTCAGCAGCTCCAGACTCAGCACCTCCAGGCTCAGCAGCTCCAGACTCAGCACCCCCAGACTCAGTAGCTCCAGCTCCAGTAGGACTCGCAGGCCCAGCAGCTCCGGGACCGGCAGCACCCTCAGCAAGCGAAGAAGCTCCAGCTCCAGCAGCACGCCTCCAGCGGCGAGCAAACCACTCGCGCAGCTCCTGTGGAGAGAGCGGCTCCCGCCCAGCAGTCGCAGGCTCCGCACCTCCAGGCTCAGCACCCCCAGGCTCAGCAGCTCCTGACGTAGCACCCCCCGGCTCAGCACCCCCAGCAGCAGCACCCCCAAGCTCAGCACCCCCAGCAGCAGCACCCCCAAGCTCAGCACCCGCAGGCGTAGCACCCCCAGACTCTGCACCCGCAGCAGGACCAGACTCAGCAGCAACCTCGACTGGCTCGACTGTGTCTACCTGGGACACACCTGAAGGGGCAGGAACCTGAGGGGGGAGGGGGTCTACCGGGGGGGGAACTGGCACCAGGAAGTCCGGTGGGGGGGGGAGGGAAGGAGTACGGTAGGGGAAGAGGCGGTAGAAGGGGACTGACTCGTCGAACGTGACGTCCTGGGAGGACATAACACGACGAGAGGAGGGGTGGTAGAACTGCCACCCTGGAGCGTCAAGGGGGAAGCCAAGGAAGACACAGGGAGCAGCACGGGGGGACAGCTTGTCCGCAGACAAGTCGCGGACAAACGCCCGAGATCCCCAGACACGGAACGCAGACGCATCACCGACCTTCCCCGTCCACAGTAACACTGGGGACATCGCGGGCCGAGAGACCCTGGGGTGAAGGTTGAGCTGATGCGCCGCGTACCGAACCGCAAACGGCCACAGAAAATGGGGGGCAGCCGCATGCATCATGGACGTACGAGCGACATCCATGACCATGCCAATGCGGCGCTCAGCAATCCCATTTTGCTGTGGAGAGTCCGGAAGCGTAAAGGTCTGGCGGATCCCCTGTGCACGACAGTAGTCTCGCAGAAGGCGAGAGGAGAACTCCCCACCTCGGTCAGAGTGCAGACGCAGAACAGGAAAGTCAGAGCCGAAGCTCCTCCTGAGCTGGAGACGAGCCTCGCGGATCCAGTCGATCAGCACCTCAGTGACAGCACCCTTGCTGCGCAAGGGGAAGACTGAGGTGTAACGCGAGTAGTCGTCAACCACCAACAGGAAGTAGCGCTCGTGACCCTGCCCACGGACGGGGGCCGGGCCCCACACGTCCATGTGAAGCGTCTGCAGAGGAGCCTCTGTCGGGGGAAACTGGGAGGAGTGAGGAGCAGCCCTGAGGCGCCCCTCGACACAGGGGACACAGGAAGGTCCTGGTCCCGAAGGAAGGGGAGGGAGAGACTGGGGAAGACCAGAGACAAGGACACGGGAAGCCATGCCCCGAAGACGGGGCAAGGAGGGGTGGCCTAGACGGTGGTGCCACAGAAGAGTCTCGTGAGACAGGAGGCGACACGAACAGGGGGCAGACTCAGGACCAGACCTGGACGCAGCAGCAAACACCTGACCCGACGCTACTACCTGACCGGACGCGGGGACAGGAGGAGACTCAGTGGTCAGGGTGTAGAGGCTCGACCCCGGCCGACGCGAGAACGTGGCCAGGTGCCGGCCTGTGCGTGCGTCCGTGCAGTGGGTCACCCGCTGACTCGCAGGAGTGAACTGGTGAACCCCCGCATCCTGTAGGTCTGCACCACTCACCAAGTTCGTCGAGAACGAGGGGAGGTACAGGCCAGACAGGGTGCCCGAGGGGGCAGCCGGACACGGGAGGACAGTGGAGAAGTGAGCGAGGACAGGACCCCCAGAGGGGTCAGCCAGGGAGACAGCAACCGGCCGACCAAGCGGCGTGAGTGTGGTGCGGTCCCGAAAGAAGGAGCGAGAAGCCCCAGAGTCAAGTGTAAAGGTGAGGGAGGCCGAAGCCAACGCGGTACCTGAGAGCGCAGCCTCACCCGCACCTGAGGAAGCAGACTCACTAGCACCTAGAGCAGCAGTCGCACCTGTACCTGGAGCAGGAGACTCACTAGCACCCAGAGCAGCAGCCTCACCAGTAGCTAGAGCAGCAGGTCCTATACCTGGGTCAGGCGGGACGCACAGGTGACCGGCATGGTCAGCACTAGTAGGCAATGCATACATGGCAGTGAGAATAGCATCATAGTCAAGAGCATATATATCTACCCTCTGCCTAAGCAACTCCACCCAGTCGGGAAGCTCAGCCTCGTCGCCAAACACGGTACGCCAGGCGTCGCTCAGACGGGCGAAGCAGCGGGACTGTGTATGACTACGTGTCCCACAAGGCTGACCAGTCCGAGTACTAGTGCGAATCACGTAAGAGCAGCGAACAGCACTGAGAGACCCTCCACTCTGAGCGTACCACTCACGAAGCTGGCGAGGCGTGAGAGACACGCGAGAGGGTCGCGGGAGCTGCATCTGGCCGCCACCACGAGTAGAAGCAGCAGGAGTGGAAGTAGGAGTAGCGTCGCCACCCCTACAGCCCCAACCAGCGTACCACTCACGCAGCTGCTGGGGCGTGAGGGACTCACGCAGGCGTCGCTGGGGCTGCATCTGGCTCCGCAAGTAGAAGCAGGAGCAGGACTAGCAGTAGGAAGGCAGGCAGCCAGGCAAGCCAAAAGGCAGGCAGGCAGGCAAGCAGGCGACACGCAGCGTGCTAGCAGGGCAAGAGCTCACCAGTGGTGGGAAGAGTAGGCTCGGCGACTCAGCGGCTCGGCAGCTCGGCGGCTCGGCGGCTCGGGCGACTCGGGCGGCTCGGCGGCAAGGCGGCTCGGCAGCAACTGCAGCTCAGCAGCTCGGTGACTCGGCGGCTCGGCGGCAGGGCGGCTCGGCAGCAACTGCAGCTCAGCAGCTCAGCGACCCGGTGGCTCGGCGGCAGGGCGGTTCGGCTGCTGGGCGGCTCGGGTGCAGGGCGGCTCGGCAGTGGGGCGGCTCGGCCGCTGCAGGTGAGCGATGAAGGAGGAGGAGAAGCAGGGGAGGCCACACACCTGCCACCCCACCGCAAGCGGCCCCCTCAGGTCGCCTCGACAGGCGACGGGAAAAGGGGGGGTGGGTGGTGGGGGCCGGTAGGTGCAGCGGCGGGGCCAGCAGGTGCAGTTGCGGGGCCGGTAGAAGGGGACGGCAGCCTGGGCGGTCGTGGGCGGCTCACGCTGGGCGGGTGCACGGGCGGCTCGGCGGGCGGCGTACAGGCAGCTCACGGGCGGCTGCGACGGGCGGCTCGCGGGCGTCGGGCGCTAGGGCGCTGGGGCGACGACGGGCGGTGCTCAGGCGTCAGGGCGGGCGGTCGTCAGAGCGCTAGAGCGGGCGGCGCTCAGGCGTCAGGGCGGGCGGCCGTCAGGGCGCTAGGGCGGGCGGCGCTCAGGCGTCAGGGCGGGCGGCCGTCAGGGCGCAAGGGCGGGCGGCGCTCGGGCGCTAGGGCGAGCGGCGCACGGGCGCTAGGGCGGGCGGCCGTCAGGGGGCTAGGGCGGGCTGCGCTCGGGCGCTAGGGCGGGCGGCGCTCGGGTGCTAGGGCGGGCGGCCGACAGGGCGCTAGGGCGGGCGGCCGTCAGGGCGCTAGGGCGAGCGGCGCACGGGCGCTAGGGCGGGCGGCCGTCAGGGCGCTAGGGCGGGCGGCGCTCGGGCGCTAGGGCGGGCGGCCGTCAGGGCGCTAGGGCGGGCGGCGCTCGGGCGCTAGGGCGGGCGGCGCTCGGGCGCTAGGGCGGGCGGCCGTCAGGGCGCTAGGGCGGGCGGCCGTCAGGGCGCTAGGGCGGGCTGCGCTCGGGCGCTAGGGCGGGCGGCGCTCGGGTGCTAGGGCGGGCGGCCGACAGGGCGCTAGGGCGGGCGGCCGTCAGGGCGCTAGGGGGAGCGGCGCACGGGCGCTAGGGCGGGCGGCCGTCAGGGCGCTAGGGCGGGCGGCGCTCGGGCGCTAGGGCGGGCGGCGCTCGGGCGCTAGGGCGGGCGGCCGTCAGGGCGCTAGGGCGGGCGGCCGTCAGGGCGCTAGGGCGGGCGGCGTTCGGGCGCTAGAGCGGGCGGCCGTCAGGGCACTAGGGCGGGCGGCCGTCAGGGCGCAAGGGCGGCGGCGCTCGGGCGCTAGGGCGGGCGGCCTTCAGAGCACTAGGGCAGATCGAAAAAAAAAGTACTAGGGCCCGGAGCGCGCTCCGGGCAGGAAAAAAAGGTTAAGAGGTAGCGGTGGTGGGCCCTACGAACAGTTCCCACAGGGGAACCTGCTCGATACCATGTGAGAATAAGCGAACAGGAATGAATGAACTAGCAGTGAAATGAGTACAAGTAGGAAACCCTAGAATTGTGTACCCCCTATAGGCTAACCCACTGTAGCCTACACAAGCAGAACATATATAATGTTTGACACGTCCAATCGGGACAGCTGGAGAGGAGGCACTGAGAGAACACGATGTCCAAGATCAAGAGTAAGAACAGAGACCAATTGGCACAGAGTTCGTGATAATATGGACGGGGGGGGGAGCGGAAAGCTCAAGGTCAGGGGGGGTAAAATACCGTTAACTGCCTGCAGGGCAGACACGGAGATGGACTGCCTGTTGGAGACCCGGTTGCGTCTGGTGACAGCGAAGCAGGCGTGGTCCGGGGTCCGATGGTTGCTTGCGCACAGATCGCACGAGTGACAGGAGATGTTGAGGAAGGCAGGTTCATCCTGTTCCGGGATCCAGAGGATTGCCGAGATTCGCTCAAAGGACGGGTCTCCCTCGGCTGCGACGGGCAGGCCAAGGATCTGTGAGTAAGCCGAGCCATCGTAGGGGTCCTTGAGGCGATGGAAGTGCAGGATATCAGCCAGCCACGGGTGGTCCGCCTCGGTTCTTTCGCCGAGCAGGGATTCGCGCAGGCCTTCAGCCTTGACAATGATCGGCACATTGCGCACCACCATGTAGGTATCGCCGCGAGCCTTTGCGGCCGTGAAGGCAGGGTAGGGGTCTATGTACAGCTTGACCTCGACAGGGCGGCTGTTATGGATCCGCGCCAGAAAAGGAGTCGTGAACAGCCCGCGGAAGATGCGAGCGTCGGCTGCAGACGGCCAGGAGTAAAGATGACGGAAGTACGTTCTGCGCGGAAAGCGCAGCGGTTCCCCCGACGCCGCATCAAACCGCGGCACGGCGCCATTGAAAGCCGACATCCCGGGAAGGGCCGCAGCAATCCGAGCGAGAATGCTCTCCCGTACTTCCTCGGAACATTCCGGGAACATGACTGTCACGAGAGACTGCGTGTCCCTTCGCAAGGCCCGGAGCTCGGTGCCCACCGAGGGGCGGTGTCGGCGGAGGTGACGGAATCGCACCGAGAGGGCGAGATTAGCAGCAGGTCCAGCGGCCGTCTGCTCTGCTGCAGCTTCCTGGACAGGAGGCTGAGGGCGCGCGGGCGGAGCAGACCACGGCCTCGGTGGGGCCGACGGACGAGAAGATGAGGGTGCAGTAGCCGCCGAGCTTCCAGAGGAGTTCGTGCGTTGCACCGGCCGAGGCGCCGGCTGCATCGCGGGAGAAGCAGAAACTCCGGCCGCAGCGGAGGAAGTCCCTTCACCACACTGCTTCTTAGCAGCAGGCTCTCCGTTAAGCTCAGGTAAGGCGCCGTCAGGGAGATCCTCGAGCACGTAGTCACCGAGATCGGTGAGAGTGTCCTCCCCAGCGGCAAGCTGCTCGTCAGTCATAACGGCGTCGGGGTTCGGAGGTGAGGCCATCGAGGTGAAGGATGAAAAAGGGCACCAGCCCGGGAATCGTTTATACCACCGCCAGTCAATCATCTGGCCCCGGCCAACGGGGGGAACATGCTTAAGGCGATCCGGCGAGTAGCCGAATCGCCACGAGAAAAAAGGAGGGGACTGAGGAAGAGAGGACTGGGCGCTTCGGCAATGGCCTAAGCAACCCTTCAGGAATGGCTGTTTGCCAGATCGGCATAACAAGTCGTGAACCCCAGCATGGGAAGTGGGAGAGGAATCCACGCAAAGGCCAGCAAGAAGGGCGATCAGCTGACTTTGTTCGGTGCTGGGATGACAGAGAGAGCTGAAGTGAGCCGCCGCAAAGGGTTTGCATGGAGTTGAGCAGCAGGAGGCAGCCCATCCAGACAAGAGCAGTGACGAGCAGAGGAGTTTGGCCAGATCAGAGGTTGACGTCCAGCAATCGAGGAGAAAGTGGGAAACGATAAGGTCAGTCAGGGGAGTGCAGCTGATGTGTCCCCCTGAAATAGCGAAATTGGTGAAACATCGAAGCCGGACCGCAGCCAACCAAACACGTACCTGTCAAAATTAGAAGAAAGAAAAGGGGATTGAACTAGCAAGAATGAGGATACAAATAGCAAACCCTAGAAGGGTTGTACTCGCTATAGAGCACCCCACTACAGGCTAGAACAATAAGATAATATTCTGACAGTACCTTCGCCGAGGACTTGAGAGCAGGATCCACGTAAGCAAAACCGCCTGAGAAACAGCAATCGGGATACTCGTTAGACGAGGAGGGTTCATACTAACCTTCCTGAAGAACACCGCATGCAACAGAGCCAAGAATACGCCGGCGATCCACAGTTGGCGAAGGAAGGTATCAACGCGTGCAAACGAGGCCGAGGAGCAGAAGGAAAGCGGTGAGCTTCATGACGAGGATGCCTCTGACCCAGGAACCTGGAAATCCCCGAAATTCGCCCCGTAGAGAGGCTGATCATTCAGGAGGAGACTAAACTAGGAACAGGATCTAGGACGCTTGAGCTTTTGGGAATTGGCTCGCTGAGTAGGATTTCTAAGGCAGTGGTTTGGTTGGGATTGAGTTCTGGTACACAGATCGATAAGACACGGTAACTGTTAAATTTGATTTACATGATATTAGTTCCTTACATGGCAGTTCACAACTGCCATAAGGTGAAAAAACATATCGCTTCACCTCAATGTTTTTTCACAACTCATTTCAAACTGAATAAGCTGATTATTCTCGATTTAATTAATTTTTGTATGCCGATAGAAATTTGGCTTACCGTATTCACCCAGATAGATCACGAGGTGTTTCTTCCTGTCATCCCTTAAAACAAGCGGGGGGAAGCAAAGAATGGCTGAGGGGGGGAAGGGGGTTGATAAAGGGCCCCACCAGGCAAGTTTTTACAAGCCCTGAACTGTACACCTCCTTTTATGTCTCCGTGACATTGAATGAACGTGTTTTGCTGTAAATAACGAATTCACGCATTATCTGAACTTGTGCTCCATGCTTGAGTGTTTAGGAGCCCATTCAGAAGATCACTCTATAGCCGTGTGACACATTCGATCAGGAGAGCCGTTGCCGAATGGACGGCCACGATGGCAAATGTACATTACACCTGGATCCTTTCGCTATGGAGACTGCCTGTCGCTTTCGCCTGTCGAACGAAAGCTCGAAGAATCTCTACATCCCAGCCGTTCGCGGGCGACGGCACAACCTGACAGGCGGGGGAAGATGCTTGATTCGCGGTGTCAGGAATTGAACATGAATGCAATGCGAATCGGCTCGGAATTGCAATGTCAAGGCGCGAAACAAGGGGGAGGTGATGGCCGCGCAAGCTTTCCTCCGCCCACTGTATATTTTGCGTTTCCGCCTTCCCCAGGTTCCGCTGGTCACTTTTGCCAAGCCTCAATCCGCTGGCTCCGCCAGTACTCTCGCCCGTTTCCGAGGTCCTCGAGTCTCTTCGGCTTCACTTCACTACATCGATTGGTGCCGTGGGGTGTGAACCGTCTGTACTCCTTCCTTTGGCCTGACCTACTTGCACCACTCCTCACCCCACATTATGGTCAGTAGTGAAGTGATCCATTCTTCTTCCTTCACTTAGTTCCATCCCCAATCCCAAATCTTGTACGGTTCGTCTGTGCTTCTCTGAACTCGTGTTTAGTGGTAGCTTCACCGCCGAGGTTACCTTGACGTATTTTTTTGTCAGAGAAGTGATGTTAAAAGAAGCTATTAGTCTTATCCTTTAACACTGCTGTCGTAAATTATACGTCATGGCTACTGCGTCGTCGAATGGGGAGCAGGTTGTCAGATGGTTAGAGGATAGTGGCTTAGGAAAGTATGCTAGCCAGTTTGTTGCTCTTGGCATTGGAGGAGACGGCTTCCGTAAGCTCCTCATGCAGGTAACGTTTGTGAAGTCCTTATAGCAACTAGAATCAGTTTAGAACAAGCATTCCGAATAGCATTCTGACAGCTATTGACATTCTTTTGAATCTTGTCGTCAGGACTACGAGAAGTGTGGCGTTTCCAAGTTCGAAGACAAGCGAAAGCTCTTCCAACTGATTAAGCAGCTCAATTCTAGCGATGATGTCCGCTCGAGCATGGGAAAGAACCGCGAGAGCCAACAGGATATTAGACCCGCAGCTCCTCAAAGGCCTTCAATCGCCGCAGCTGCCAAGTGCACCAAGATTATCGACATTCAAGGAATGGACGATGTTGAACTGCTAACTGATGTGAGTGTCGACGTGCTTTCTTTCTAGCGAATGGCGTAAATGGTTCTCTAAACGCTGAATCTCTTCATATCGCAGGGGCTTGACGAACCTATCGAAACTGAGCTTCCGAAGGCTCCACGTCTTACTGCACCGCAAAGTGCAGTCTCCAGCCGGGCAACATCGCCAGTCAGACCTGAGCGAGCGTTTATGCTCCACAGCGTATCAGTCCCTGCCTCCCCAGAGAAGTTCTCCTCACACCCTCCTCAGAACCTGGCATCGTCGCTTCCCAAAATCTCCGGCCTTGATGCGGTTGTGGAGACAGCTCCGCGGGTCTCGAATCCAGCTCGCATCAAAGTTGTGGTGAGTCATCGTGCTTCTATGCAGCTCCTATCCTTCTCCTCAAGATCACTTCTCACGCATGGCTTGCTCTTCTCTGGTTGCAGGTTCGGAAGCGACCCATTAACAAAAAGGAGCGTTTGCGAAAGGAGTACGACGTTATATATATTGAGGAACCAAGGACCCTAACCGTTCGCGAGCCGAAAGTGAAGGTGGGATCTTGTGTATGACGCAACTTTGTCCTTGCTATTTTGTCGCGAGGGACTTGGACTTAACGTCGTGCCCCTCTAACATCATCAGGTCGACTTGACGGCTTACGAAGAGACGCACAAGTTTGTCTTCGACGCTGTGCTGGATGAAACAGTAACCAACGACGAGGTTCGTGTAGCAGGCAGCTCACACGGGAAATAGTGTTTGCGTCATATATTTACGGGTCTAATTGGAGCACAAGTTATGTGCAGGTATATCGCGAAACCGTGGAGCCCATTGTTCCTACGATATTCATGCGAACCAAAGCGACTTGCTTCGCATATGGTCAGACAGGTACACACCCGCGCAACACTTCCAGAAGGAGCTATCGGGTTTTCTTGTGCGACAGGACTGACGCCGTTTCTCGTTGTGGCTGCGCTGGTTGCTTGCAGGGAGTGGTAAGACCTACACGATGCAGCCTCTGCCACTGAGGGCTGCACAGGATATGCTGAACATCATCAACCTGGAACGCAACAAAGATTCCAACTTCCAATTGTGGATAAGCTTCTTCGAGATCTATGGTGGCAAGCTCTTCGACTTGCTCAATGACCGAGCGTAAGTTCCCTGATCTTGAAAAAGCAAAAGTGATGATTAATCAGGGTCTTCGCTGGAACAGCATGTCAAGCTGTACCATTCATGCATCATTTTTGTGTGTAATGCAGGAAGCTACAAATGCGCGAGGATGGGAGGCAGCAAGTGTGCATTGTCGGCTTGAAGGAGGTCAATGTTGTCTCCGTTGACACCGTTTACGAGCTAATATCCAGGGGAAGCTCCGCAAGAAGCACTGGCACGACCGGTGCGAACGAAGAGTCGTCGCGAAGTCACGCCATTCTCCAGATGGTTATTAGGCAGAAAATTCAGCCTGACAAGACACAGGCGCGACGAGCCAGGAGGTCACTTGGGGGCGCGGACGAGAAGGACACCATGGGAAAACTCGTGGGCAAGTTTTCGTTTATTGACCTCGCGGGCAGTGAAAGAGGCGCTGATACTACGGATAATGATAAGCAGACCAGGTAAACTTCCTCAAGAAGTTCTCTCGATGCCGGTTTTGGATGTAATCAAAAGGGTGCTTTCTAACTAGGCGATGTACTTGGGCACTCCTTGGTCAGGATGGAAGGAGCAGAGATCAACAAAAGCCTTCTGGCTTTGAAGGAGTGCATTCGCGCACTTGACATGGAACAAAACCACATTCCGTTCCGTGGTAGCAAGCTGACTGAAGTGCTGCGTGACTCCTTTGTGGGCAACTCTCGAACGGTGATGGTATCGTGCATTTCTCCAGGATCAGCTTCAGTCGAGCACACTCTGAACACTCTGCGCTATGCTGACCGGTGAGCACCATATACGCCGAACCATTAAGTCTCTTCCGTAGTATGCTTCACTAACGTCTACCTGCTTTTCTGCTTTCAGAGTCAAGAGCCTTTCAAAGGGCAACAAGAAGGATACTGGGGGCTCCAGCATTCCCAGTACTATGGTTTCATCGAAGAGCTCAACGACCACTGGAAGGGTGCAGCAGCCAGCCCCAGTCTACTTTCCTGAACCATTTGGTGAGGAGACGAGCTCAGCAACTGAGAAGCGTCCGAGATATGAAAGCATTCCGAGAGTTGCATCTGCCTCTGGTTGCATTCCGAGAGTTGCATCTGCCTCTGATCCTGGTCGTTTCAGTATTGGAGGCCGGCAGTCTGCAGTGGAGGGAGGGATGTTTAAGGAGAAGAATGCCAGCAAGCTAGTTGAAGAGATTGTAGATGACATGGAGCTGGACAATGACAGTGCTGAGGTTGTTGGAACCCTGCTTGCTGACCTGGAAGAAGGAGTAAGCTCCATGGATAGCCTTTGTGGGGAGGTCGAACGATCGCGCATTCCGTCAGATTCGGCCATGGAGGTCTCTGATCCAACGCAGCCTGGCAAGGACCCTAACATGCTAGGTGCGAATGAGTCAACCTTCCTCTCCAGCTTCACAAAATCATCTGTTCCATCCACCAGGCCCTTCCGTTCAACCTTAGGCTGGTCTGCAGGGTCGTCGTCCAGGGCTTCTGCTGGTGCCTCAGCTGCTTCAGGAGGCCAGGCTGCTGCTGCACCAGTGAAGGAAGGAAACAATTCGAGACTCCTGCGTCGAACCACGTCCATTCCATCTGCCCCTGGTGTGACTGATAAGGCAGCAGAGGCCGGCCAGTCGGCTGCTGAGCTTCAGACAAGCTCAGTTCTGGTTGCAAAAACAGTTGATACCTCTGCAAGCAGCAGGCCTTCCGCAGCAAGTGACAACTCTTCAGAGGAAGATGCGAGCAACAAGGCTGAGCCAGCAGTGCGCAGGAAGCAGCCTCCAAGGAAAGCAAAAACTGCTGGAAGGTTGCAAAGACAGGAGGTATCTGAGGTGTCGGAGTCCTCGAGTGAGCTCATTGAGGCATCTGATCCACTCGCTGCCAAACACAAGCCTTCGCCTGTAAGTTCTTTGGTATTGTCAATGCTAACTTGTCGTCGCCTTCATGGATTTGTTCAGCCAGTTCTTTCCCTCCTTGAAATTCTCACAGGAGATTGCCCATATCATTTCACTCCATGAGAGGCTCGTCAAGCAATACTCCGCATTGGAACAACGGGTAAGATCTTGCACATTCAGGTCAATATTTCATGCTTGTTTTACAGTATTTCAGTTGTTGTGACTGACGGTTGAGATTATGTGTGGACAGGAAATGAAGATGCTTGATCAAATCAGAGCGGGGGACGGCAGTTTCGATGTTTACCTTTTGGAGACTGGGAGGATTGTTGCTGAGAAAATGTCCAGCCTTGCACAGCTGCAAGCTGAGATTGCCAAGTTCCAGTTTACCAGGAGATAGGATGCTTTTATAGTTTTCTGATCATGCTTTTTTTCGTCTGACAGGTTTGACACTGGGTTCCCTGACACTGTAACACCAAGTAAGGCTGTTTTTTTTTTGTGTTGATATCAAGCTGTGATACTAGTCGGATCTTCGCTGAACATGTACGCAATCACGATTGAAAACCACCAGTACCGTACCAATGTGACACAGAGCTTCAGCTTGACCAACTACCGGTACCGTAAAAGCCAGCACCAACGTGCCACACTGAATATCTGGTGGGCATGTGCTATGTGACCATAAGAGAACGGCATCCACGCTGCCCCTGAAAAAGGTGGTAACAGCCATTGTTTACAGTGTAGTGCAGGGTTCCCCCCTTAATAATCAGGCCAGGTGCTAGAAACACGTTTTCACCCTTTCCCAATCAGGGTTCACAAATTTTCACAGTAGGCCATACACCACGGTACCACCACAATACCATTTTAGAGCCCTGACTGGTGAAGAGGTTTGCCTCCAGCAGGGCCTCAGATTCGTTTGAGAGTACCCTGTGGACTCAGGGCAGGTTTTAAGAATTCCTATTTTGTCCTGAACTGTCAGGACAGAGCAAGGGTGGGTATGCTGTAGGGTCAGTGCTACAAGTGACATTATCCTGCCAAGTCAGTGCTACTTTTCACTTTATCCTGTGCACTTTGTTAGAAACTTAGTTTCCCTTGTAATCACATCACACACACACAGACCAATCAGTCAGGCAGAGCAGGGCACAGTAATAATGACTTAAGAGCCCTTATGAAAGTTCTCATTGTTATGGTAAATATTGAACATGCACTTCAGTACCCCTCATCATCATCCTCTGCCTCCACCTGATCATCTTCAGAGGCATCGTCTTCAGCATTGTCCCTTCCACTGTCTACAGCATCATCATCACCCTCCTCAGCAGCGTGATGATGGTCACGCTTCTCTGCTAGTGACCCCCGGAACCCTGTGCCACTCCTCCTCGATACATCCACAGTTGCTGCCTTTCGCTTGGTGGGTCGCCTCTTCATGGTGCTGCGCCACAATGCCACGACTTCGCTCCACACCATGTCGTAGTCTAACAAGCTGAGCGTCATGAGGTCGGCCAGCTTCGCGTCATGCAAGTTGGTCCGGATCCAGCTCTTGATCACGTTTTGGCGCGAAAATCCGCGCTCGCACTCCACCGTGCTGAGAGGCAACACCGCGACGGCCGCCCACAGCCGCACCAGGTTCGGATAGGTCCGCTGCCAGTCCGATGTTGACAATATCGCCCGCAAGCCAGCATGGAACGGCTGCTCCTCCTTTGGCGCCCCGGACAGCACAGATAGGAAAGTGCGCATCTCCTTCCGCACTTCGCGCTTGTTGACACCTGCTTGGTGGGGTGTTAGAAAAAACCATACACGAGGGTTTTGGGTCATCTCTGGCGGTTACGTGGCGGAGTCTACACTGCAATTTACAATTCACACAAGGGTGCAATTTACACTGCAACGTGAAGTGTGTAAATAGACACGGAAACTCACCAGGAAGGATCTCGTCCCTGTCGCGCGCATGGAACATCACCGCCAGCTTCTCCATGTGTCCCTTGCACTCCGCGTCCCTCGCCTCTTTTCCTCGCGGCCATGACCTTGGCATGAAGAGCTTGGCGGCGTTGAGGTTCGACAGGTCGCCAAGCCGAAAGTCGAGGTTGTACAGCAGCTCCGTCGCAAACGAGCGGCACGTCCGAATGCAAGACGGCAGGTCACCGACGCCCTCCGCGTAGCCAGGAATCGGCTCCTCGTGCAGGGTGAACTCATGCTCCCTTGGCACACCGTCGGTGTCCACTCCCTGCACTTTCATGCTCCTGCTGCATGCAGCACCGTGCCGAGCAAGGAACGGCGATAGCAGTGCGCTCGACCCAGCACCGAACTGCTGCCCACAGTCAATGTACCGCTCCCTAATGAAAACCTCGAGGCGCCTCATCTGGGAGTGAACCGCCGTCAAGTCCACCTGTGATTGGGTTGAGGGGCAGGGAGGACAGACGACATAAAAGAACGGTAAGTATCAGTTCGTTTGAGACCTTGCTTTTGCAAAATGTGTGGCAAATACCTCGCGCCGTTGGAAGAGAAGGTTGAGCATGTTCAGCTCGACGTGTACACGTAAAAGTGAAACTTCAGGCTGGTGACCATTTGGTAACAGGTTTTATCCAGCTACTCGAGGAGGACCACCACCGCCGGAAGCACCTTCACGAACCGCGCAATCGCGTCACCACGGCTTAACCAGCGGACGGCGTGGATGCCTTGCAGCTCCAGGTTTGTCCGGGTGAAGACTGACTGGATCTCCTTGAATGTTGCATGCGAGGTCGAGCTGCGTCCGAGATGCTCCGCCAAAGCACGGATGAGGACGTCAACCATCTGGAGCTCCGAGAGGGCCTCAGCAGAGTCCTTTGCGGCAAGTGCCTCCCTGCCAGGCACAAAGCAACAAGGGCGTCAGACAGTCCGAACGCATAAATAAAACAGGCTATGTAAAATTCCCACCTGTGTGCGATACAGTGGCACGAAACCAGGTGCGGGATGCAGAGTCGAAGCCGCCCAGTGAGACCATTGGTGCCGCCGAGCATGACTGGAGCGCCGTCGGTGCTGATCCCTGCGATCTTGCCTAGGGGCACGTTGATGCTGTCGAGGTAGCCGACGAGCACTGCATACAGTGATCCTGCGTCACATTTCTCCACGGTCAAGAGCGTCAGAAATTCCGTGGTCACCTCGTGTTCTCTCAAAAACGTGACGAAGACAATCATGTGCTTCCCCCGCACGCGGTCGGTGCTCTCATCACAGCTCAAGCCAATGAAGGGGCTTGAGTCTATGAACTCGCGTTGCTTCGCACGAAGATAAGTCGCTGTAGCTGATACCAGTTCCTGGAACCCGTACCTGCGCAGACACAGTTAGGAAACCCGTACGTTACGGCAACCAAGTTGTCACTTTAAAAATCAGAGGCATCACTTACGTTGTATAATAAGCGCCGTAGCCGTTCTTCGGGAATCCTGGCGTACCGCGGGAAGCAAGGTGCCGTACGAGTTGCACCCACATCTCGATGGGTGCGTCGGTCCTTGTAATGAACAACAGCGTGTCCAGCAGCGACTGCACAGCATCATGCTCGACGTCACGCGCCGTCGGGCAGTCGGGGATGCGATGCTGCCCGGTTGCGTTCGCCAACGCCAGCTCCTGGTTGCGAATAGCGTCCTTGTGCTTCGTTGTTCGCTGATGTCGCTGCATGGCTTGCGTCTGCACATCCAGTGCCCCCTCGCCTTTCCCGAAGTTCGTTCCTGTGCCTGCATACTCCATACATACGGTGCACTTCATAGAAGGGAAACCATACTTGGTTTGACAAATGATAAGCCACGGGAAGTCTTCGTTCCACCTCCTCTTGAACATGAGCAGAGCTTCCTGGTACTTCTCCTCAGCGATGTCGGGTATTTCGGTGTCAGAGGAAGCAGTGGGGGCGGTTTCAATAAGAACAGTGGGTTCCGGATCTTGCCTGGAGACGGACAGCACCGTCGTGTTGTCTGATGCACGGACGAAGGACAACTTCGTCTGGTGGTATCGCTGCGCGGAGACCTTCTTGCTCGGAGGTCCCTTCCGGGTTGTCCCAGCGGCCTTCGAGCACTCCCACTGCGTACGAATCGGCGGAGGCAAAGGCTCGTTATCAACCACGACCGGTGCTGCTGTCGAGGGAGAAGGCACGGGCGGCTGAGACGGCGAAGGGATGGTTGCAGCAGCGACAGCGGCAACATCTACCGTGGGTGGTGGCGGCGGCTGAACGGGCCTAGTGCGCAAGAAATCGAGGCCTGTCAACCCTACTGGGCCGACCGTTGGGTCAGGCATGGCGGGTGCTTCACCATCGCCCGCCGGCGATGGGTCAGCCATGGGCGAACAGCAGTGGTCGATTGTGCTCTGAGACAAACCTACGACGAGCTAGCAAAATCACGGGGGAAACAAAGATTCTTTGGAGTGAGCCAGGGGTTTGGTAGGCACTCAACAGCAAGATGGAGAGGAAGGAGCGCTCGAGGGAATCAGAAAGATTCCTGCCTGAACCTTGCCATCCAAACCAACCCCGCGTGAACCTACAGTTGGTTTGTGTAAAGATGGCCTCATCGTGTAAAGTGAGCGCGGCGCACTCTCATTGGTCGATATTACAGCAATGCAGGTTGCCACGGTTGGCGCGGCGTGGTTTCCAGCAGAGGCATCAAAGTCAGGGCGTCAATCACGGCGAAAAAAGTAACGCAGTACCTGGTCGGTGGTTGGGTACACTCGGCCCCGGGCGAAATTGGCGCAGTACTAGATTCAGGACGACTCTCAACACTACACTGAACCATCAGGGCTGAACCTACATGTCTATACTGAAATTCCAGCACGCAACTTAACACCTATACTGAAATTCCAGGACAACTTTTTCACTTATGCTGTTTTTCCAGGACTGGGACCCCACAGCTATACTGAATTAAGGAGAATCAGGATAAATTATCCTGATATCTGAGGCCCTGGCCTCCAGATTACCTTCATGTTCGGGCGAGTCACGCTTGGTGTGTTTTGGTTTGTGTATCACTATTCAGGCTGGTGAAGTGAACAAATTGTTGTCGAGTACACCTGGTCCGCGGTGCTGATATTACCAAGGATCCAGTGGATAGGATAGAATCTGTTAAGTCTGAGAGGAGACAATTAAGTCTCTGTAGTGACCTTGTTGAGTAATAATTGAAATAGAACAAGATGATTGAAAGATAGGAGTACTAGAGATTAAGTAGAAATCTAGCTAGCCATGTACTCTGGGGGGTACATTCCCTTATTGACTGTATTGCATAGCTACAATAACCGTGACTATTGCTATCCTCGACAGTTACCATGTTGCAGTGAATTAACTGTCGCGCGGTTACTAGATTGTCAAGGGTCACGACCGTTGACTTCCTCAGACGGTTGACCTTCGGGTGACCCTCGACATTCCGCATGCTCTATATGAGCTATTGCGGTACTGGTACAGTG